AGCATAGCATTTCCACAACCTCATATATTCACCCAGAAGCAAAACAGTCCCACGGAAGTTGGTGCAACGGCTGACGATGGGCAGGATCGAAGCTCTAATGGAGGCGAAATGGAACGTCGCCTTGTTAACTTGCGCATCGTATTGGGAATCCTCCGCCCTCTCGATCCTATGCGTAATAACAACAGCAGCAGCAGCAGCCCTCGATTAGCTCGCGTCCGTCATTGAGGCTGGAGATCTTGGTGGTAGTGGCAGCAGGGAGGCCGCCTGGCATTTCCTCCCATCAATCTGACAGAGCCAACTCAGGAAATGGCTGGTAATATTCATCGGGGGAGCACTTTCATTAAACGTAATTCATTCGACTTTCACAATAAATTGAGTGACATCCTTACGGCAGAACCTTTTTATCCTTGATGAAGTGCTTGCCAAGCTTTTGCAAAAAAAAAAAAGAAGAAGAAGCGGGGGGAGCGAGGAGGAAGAAGCTTCCTCCAAGCAGAGTCGTCAACATGTCAATCTGCCGCATAAAAAATGGCTCAAGTCCTATTTACCAAGCACCCAGGGGGGTGCTTTAAATGCTGACTTACAAGAGCCGGTTGTGAGTTAAACTGGCTGGCAAATCGGCGAGCTTCGCCCAAACTACTACTAGGAGGAAGGAAGGACGGGACAAGAGATCCTAAACGGGGTGGGGGACAGAGCTTGCGAAATCGGCGATTCCCAGCAAGGGGGTGACTAACCTGCTTAGCCTCTGGCTGCCATCGCTAATAAGGAAAATGGCTTTTCTATTATTATTATTATTATTATTATTCTTCAGTCTAGAGGCAAGGCGGGCTACACAAGGGCTGAAATGAGCATTACTCCTAGCTCGGAAGATTTAGCTAATCACTCAGATGGAGAGCTGCTGTCTCTGTAGAAGTAGGGACCCCTCTCTGAACATTCAAAATGGTTGGGGGGGGGCAAGATGGAGAGGGGGGCTAGCCCAGCTCGCCTCAGTGCTCCTTCAGGTACCCGAGTCTGTGCTGATTTAGAAGAGAAAGAGGCGATGTTAACACACCTGGAAAACTACCCTTCCGCCCCTACGCCCCATTTTTAAAAGGTGGGTGTGAACAGAGATAACATTGGCTGGTCTTCGGCTGCAGTATCCCGGGAACTAATTCGGGAGTAAGTCCCACACCGAACACCGTGGGGCTTGGTTCCACCAAGTAACCCTATCAAGGCTCGAGCCGCTTGGAGTTTTACTTAGGAGTAGGCTCCGTTGGAATCAGTGGGCCTATGCGATGGCGGAAGTTGGTCCACCCATATATATATATATATGTATGTATGTATGTATGTATGTATGTATATATCCCACAGTCTCACTGCATATTTACGATAAACCGCTTGATTCCGAAGAGGGGGTGAAATAAGGTGAATAAGAAGACGTAAATAAAACCCCAAAGAAATAAAACTCAAAGAAAATGCTCCAATTTATCCTCAAAAAGAGACGGCGTTAGCGTGCTGGGGTGGTTCTGTTGATTGTGAAAATTTACATGGATTTCCTGGTATAAAAACAAGACATTGAGAGGATACAGAAAGAGTATATTGATCAGTTTAGATATAAGACAACCTGTATCCTACAGCATGTGTTGAGTCTAAATAGCTTGTGTGCACGTGTTGTATAAGTAGGAATACACAATCACCATATACCCTTAGTCCTAGACAGCTCATTTTCTACATACGCATGCCTGTCTCCTGTTGCAACATTGTTCAAACTCAGAGTCTTCCTAGGAGATTTCTGCTCCTAGAGAATTTAAGCTGCGCCTTTCTTTCTTTCTTTCTTTCTTTCTTTCTTTCTTTCTTTCTTTCTTTCTCCCCAAACTTCCCAACACAAATAAATGAAAACAAATTATTGCCACCGTGTTGTGTGAGATGCCCAATATACAACCAGCGCCACGAGTTGTTTTGATCTTTCTTTTTCCACCTGCAAAGTACAGCAAATCGCTTCAAAAAGAAGAAAGAGCGGGGGAAACAAGCCAGTAATAGCCAAATGCTTTCAGCGCCAAGAAAAGAACAGAAAAAAACCCCTTTGAAAACCCGTGTAAAGAATGGTTAGTGGAGGACAATGCTTGCCTGGTTGGGGATGGTCTCCCTGCAGTCTGAGGGAGATGCTTACCTAGCTTGGAAGAAGGAGGAAGGATGGGATGGGCACATTCCGCCCTTAGGTTGACGTTTACCAGGAAGAAAAAAATGACCACAATCGAGGCCAGACTGAACAGAGCGACACCAACTCTAGAATCTGCAGCTGGGGAGCAGGTAATAGAGGAAGTCGCGAGTCTTAAGGCATTCTGAGTGACACCACCACCAGCCCTCGACTTGTCTCTCACAGCACAACATGCACCTGGCTTTAACAACAGGCCACCCCAAAGCGGCATGAATCAGGAATACGTATATACATTTCATTCAAACCCTGAGGTTAAACAGGTAAGCTGGGTAATCTTCGCAATTCATATAGAAGAAGGTACACGATTCTGCCTAGTGTTACACACACACACACACACGGAGAGAGAGAGAGAGAGAGAGAGTCTCATACAGAGATGTGGAACAGTCAATAACCTAATACAGTCGAGTGTTTTCAAGAATGCACATTTCCTCCCGTTTCTTACACCAGTTTATGATTCTGGATCAGAAACCTCTTCCTCCCTCCCCCCCTCTCTTTCCATTCCTCCCTCCCTCTGCCTCTCTCCTATGCAAACCCATCCGTCACCCAGGAAAGACCAGGTTCTGGAATGGACGTCCCGTTGGGTGGCCTTGAGGTCTTCGAGTACAACCATGAGAGCTAAACGGAGTTTTGGTGTTCCTAAATATGTATGATAGGTGCGGTGCTAAACGCACTTACTCAGAAGTTTCACTTGAAGTCCATAGGGCTTACTTCCAAGCAAAGGTGTGGGACATACAGCGAAACTGGCTACCGCCAAGTCATGTTGGGGATGGCAGCTCAGAATTTGAGCATGAAGCTGAAATAGGGGTGTCGCTGGCTTCATTGGGCTTTGAATCAAGCTGTGGAGTAATTCAGCCTTGGACGCACGCGCGCACACTCCTAAGTACAGTAATAAATGCAATTTACCCCAACAGGGTACGTTGCTTCAAGGTTCGAGAGTGGTAGATACACGGCCTAAACTAAATGTAGGAGAGAGGAAATGAAGGACAAATCAAATGGTCTTCCTCCGCTCACCCACCCAACTTCCACCTGTCCTTTCTCGCCTTCCTGTGAACAATTAGATCTGGAGAGAAATCTTTGCGAGATCAGGGGTTTATCGAGCGAAGAGGTCGGTTTGGATGGCTTGGCACGATCAGCGTTTTTTTAAAAATCCGCGGTTCATTCACACGACCGCACTGGACATCTAGAACAAAACAAGTGTTGTGTCAACCGACTCCTAAGGCCACCCCGCGCCAAATGTGCGATGGAAAAGCACGTCCCGGTGCTTTAAATATTTGCATGCAATTCTCCGAAAATGTGGGCCTTCCCGTCCCAAATATGTAGCACAGAAAGCAAGTTATTCTTGTGCCATTGGCAAGAGAAGCGATCTCGCTGTTTTGACCCGCTCTTAACAAGAAGATTTCTGGAATGATCGGCGGGTGTCAAAATAGGAGGGAAAGCGCCGCACCTTTGGCCAGACTTGGAGCCTATCCCGGAGAGAAATGTTCTCAGCTACTGTCTCCGCTTTCCTTTGCCTCCTCCCTCACCCCTTCAAGGAAGAAAAAAAAGAGGGGAGACGCTGCCACAGACACACACAATGCTTCTGAAGCATATTGATAGCTCTAAACCAAAACATCGCCAACAGCCCAGTTCACACAAGCCGGCGCGCCGGTTTAAATCCCACTCAGATCAGCGATGCGAACGCATAGATTTAAAGCAATAATATTAATGAAAAAGTCCAACCGGTTTCACAGAAATTTGCTTCTTGTGTTTGGGATAGATATGAAAGAGTTTACAATCAGCTTGGAAGCAATCCTGAGTTTAGCCTGCGGTCCTGTGTAGATTGACTTGACGGCAAGTCCCAATGAAGTCAGAGGGATTTCTCTCCCAGTAAAAACGTGCCACATACTAAGATGCTTAAACGTATAATTTCGAGTAGTGTGTCTAGGACAGAGAAAATAGCATTGTAGATGTACAGGCACATTTTATACAGCCACACGTTGCAAATAGATACATGTGTGTGCATTTCATATATGAAACAGATAGCATATGATGTGTTGTCATGCTCTCTCTGAATGTCTCTCTATAAACCGTTCTATACCTTAACCTGTGAGCTGTATATAGAACCTACATTATATTATCACATATCAGGGTATGGAGCGCATAGATCTATTTATAGCTACTATATACATCACACACAAGTTCCATTCTAGGACTCTACTGGAAAATGTCCAGAAATGACATCAGACTCCAGTTGCCGTTTAGGAATTATTCCAGCGCTCCAATAATCCAACTCATTCTCTTCCACCACTGGAAGCGTCAAGGTCAACCACAATATATATGACCGTCTGTGTTCATATACAGGCATGTTTGCTGCATAATTTCTTTGGCATTTTTAAAACTGGGGGGAGGGGGTAGACTCCAAAAACCCATCGGAAGAAAATCGGTTTAAGGGGTTGGGGAGGCCCCAAGATAAACAGCTCATCTATTCAGCATACTCTTGGGGTTCCTATCGCCCAATTGTGTAAAGAAATCAGAAATATGTTTTAAGCCCCAAATACGTCCAAGTAGATATCGAGAGAATCGCGAGTAGGCCAAAAAAAACCTTAAAGTTTGTTGAACGGGGACCGTTTCGTGAATTCCCTTTAAAAAATCTAAAAAGGACAGCAGCGATCCGGAGAGTCACTGACAAAAGCATTATTGGGTTTAACTGAATGCATATCATCCACCAGGCCTGTCCACACATTCCTAGTCATTTGACTTCCGTCTGTTTCAGCGGTGACCTCTTGCCATTTTCCTGTTAGTAGGCGGAGTGGCCCGGATTCCTGTCCACACTAAATACAAAAGCACCGGCGTTGCGCTGACTGCCTGCAGTGTGGTTGCAATGCAGTTGACAGAGGTGCGGAACGGTGAGATCCAGACTAGCTTCTCCCACGTCCTGCTACTGAGAGGTAAACGTATTCTTTAAAAAAAGTAAAAAAAAAAGTATTCCTATCGCCCGAATCCCCCAGAAACACAGATTTGGGATCCTGTTCCATCTACGTCCCAAGCGTAAACCGATTCTCCATGAAAACGGATCACTCCGTTTTCGCCTCCCTCACTCCATTTGGCTTCAATTCTACAAGGCGGTCCTATCCTGCCACCCTATAGATCCATCTAGGAAGAAGCAAAACCAGACACCTTGCTGGTTCCTGTGGTTGATTAAAGATTTAAATCAAAGCTTCGCTGTTGACGGCTAATATTAGGCTTAGCACAGGATAGTTAGTCCCTGGGAAAACTCAAGGAATATGCAGAGCAAGTATCAACGGGCTACTATAGCGACTTGCAAACAAAGTCGTATATCAGCCTGCGGAATCCTATACGAAGTCCTCTCTCAGCTGACAACCGCCCTAAACTGTTGCTGATTTTCAATTTGCATTCAGTCACATTTCGCATTGTTTTGAAAACTCTTTCTTTCCCTGCCTCTTCTTTCCCCCGCTTGCCAAATCCTGGTTGGTGGGGGGGGGGGGAGGGAGAGGGGGGGGGAGAGAAGGCATTCAGGTAATGAAGTCTGTAACTAAACGGTAATTGAATCAGCATAATTTGCACACTGAATGGTTTTCAAATGCTCCCAGTTTACAATTAAAGGAGAATTAATGCGCTTGTTTTCAGCCTGCCGCGCATTAGAATAAATCCCGCGCCGTTGTTGCCATGAGTGGGAAAGAGTTTAAGTGCCAACAAACCCAGGGCGGGAGGAGGAAGAGGGGGAGAGAACCACGCAGCTTATTGATCTTGCGCCTGGATGGGAGAGATTACGGGTGTTGGAGTTCTCTGGCCCCCACCTATTTAAAAATAAATAAATCAGAGAGCGGTGCAATGGCGCCAGGCGCGCGCACAACACCCCCCCCCCCCATTGGTGACCAAACGACCCTTTCAAGGATGCATAACCAGTCAAGGCTTCCTGGGTCGCTGGCCCCCAAACAACATGGGGGGTTAGTTCTTGACATCGTTCTGCGGATCTTAGAGGGACCTCCATCCTCACCTCTATTTTGGGTGGAGGGGTCAGAATCAGAATGAATAGAAACCAGAACAATTTCCTTCTTCTCAAAAATAAATAAATCCCCAAGACTTCTTGACTTCTAAACTGTGGCTCCGGTCCATTTGTAGGGGGAAGGCAGAGTTACAGCAGGTGATGGCACGCCAGAGCGCTTGTTCCCGTCTGCAAGGGCTGCCCGTGCGTTCACCTGCTTCCCCCACAAGGTGTCCTGAGCGGGGCTGAGACTGGCGCGCAGCGCCCTCCAGCGGCCAAGAGCTGCAACCGCAGGCCAACAGCGCAAGGAAGAGGCTTCTTACAGAGAGGGTAAAACAAAAACAAAAAACGAGTTGCCCCGGTTGGTTTTCAAGGTTTGTATGCTTGTCGAACCACACCATTTTTTTTTTCAGCCAGCACCAGGTGCTTCTTTTTCATTAGTCCGGTCTGATCCTAGTCCGGTCTGATCCTAGACCGTTTTTCCAACCTGAAAGCCAATCACTCTCGATCCCCTTGCTCAGAAAGCAGATGACGGTCTCTGTGCTTATCTGTGGATCGATGTGAGCTGGATCCCAGGAGGAAGAGATCCCAGGTTGTGTGGTTTCGCGTCCCCTCTGGTCATCTGTTTGTGCCACGGGACTGATTCAGTGGCATCTAGGTGGTTTGGTTTTACGCGGCCGGGGGGGGGGGTGCGGTAAGTGCTAGGTGGTGTCTATACCTGGATGTTGACACCTGTGCATGACGGAAAAGCCCCCTAAAGGGTGTGCGTGTGCTGGCACAACAGTGACCGTGAGAGCGATCCCCTCCTCTCATGACCTGGATCGCCGGCGCCACCGAAAACTTCCCCTCCTGTCCCGAGGAGAGCTGAAGACACCTTGGGGACGCACCAACTGACCCCCCCACCCACCCAGGGGTCACAAGGAGCTAGACAGAGGAGGTGAGATACCCACGACATAGCCCAAGTTGTCACTTTACAGAGTTTATGATCGGGCAGGAGGGGTCCCTCGCGGATTTGAACTAGCTCTAGCGCGTGTCAAAGAGAGACCCCGGGTATTACACCTTGCTGTCTACACTGAACTTTTTTTTTTTTTTTAGACCGCCGGCTTGGTCTCCCGTATGAACGGATGGAGCTCCAATTGGTAGATCGTGGAAGAAAAAAGTTTTGCCGGAGTTCTCTCTCCTAACCACCCCTGCCAAGCCCCGCTCGTCAAGCTTTCCAAGAGACGCTGTGGCAACGTCCTTGAATTGATCTTCTCACCTTCTCGCACGCCTACAGTAAGGTTGCCAAACTTCCGTCGAACCCACAGTCACCCAAAACGCGCACTCCGTCCACCAACAAATGAATAAAAAATGGGAAAACACACCCCACAGGAGACGGAGACGAGAAAGCTGGAAGGAGTCTCTCAGGGCACTCTCTCACCCTTTGGCTCGGTAGGGCTGGAGCCAGTGGGTCTACTCGTGAATAAGTGAGGCGAGCCGCAAGGCCTTTGCTCGGGGTTCTCCTGCCCTCCACCCAAACCAGCCCAAGTTAGTGTGCGGGGCGGGGGGAGAGAGAAAGCGGGAGGGAGGGAGGCTCCTTGCAAAACTTACCAGGTAGAGTGCTGGTTGCAACAGAAGCACCGCGTACCAGTACACAGGCTGCATCCTCCCAGCTCAAACTTCCACAGCGTTGCCTTCGCTTGCTCTTTGTTCCTCCAGGAACATAGATCCACCTGACATCCACTTTATAGAACCCGGAGAGCTCGCGCCAGCCTAGACCAAAAAGGAAATTATAGACTCCATGACCGCAAAACGCGAGGTGAGGGCTTCGACGTGGGGGGAGAGAGAGAGAGCAGAGGGAGGGGCGCGACACAGACACACACACACGGACCCGGAGAGGGCAGGGAAGTGGGGGGGGGGCGCTGAGCGATGAAGGACTCAGATCAGAGTTAATCCATTTACAGGGCAGAGGGCGGGGTGAGAAGGGCTACTACCCCTAAGCTGCGGAGTGACTCCGGATCAAGGGAGGTGCGGAATGACAGGACTGGGCAGGGGCGGGGTGGGGGTCCAGAGCTGACTGCTTATTCTTGTAAGGAAGATGGGGAGGGCTGGTGCATCATCGCCAGCGCAGCCACCCCAGATATGAGAGAGAGAGAGAGACTCACACGCAGCCAGGCGCGTGGAAAGTAAAGGAGGAGGGGGCGAGGGATGGAGCTTAGTCTAGGGTCTCGGATCAAGCCCCAGATCCAGGCTCCAGGCAAAAGGTGCCCCAGAGGTGCCAAGGGGTGCTCGGGCGCGCACACACGCCTCCTTCCCGCGCCCCGACTCCGCGCAAACGCGCGCGCGCGCACAGATCCCTCGCCCGTCTCCCAACTCCTGTCTCTGCCTCCGCCAGCTCGCCCTCAACCCACGGCGGGGCTCCCAGCACCCCGCCCCTCGTTTCCTTCCCAACAAAAAAAAGGAAGGAAAATCAGATCCGATTTCCTTCCTCCCCACCACCCACAAAAACAAGAGTAGACGGGGCTACCTACTGCATGGAGGGTCCGAAAGCAGGCGCCGATCTCTGGCAATAGTCCATGGGAAGAGGAGAGGCTAGGCGAGGAGAGAGGGAAGCAAGCAAGCTACAGGGTCTCGGCAGCAGCGCCCAGGGCTGCGCGAGGATCCCCGCCTCGGCGCGGCTGCTGCTGCTGCTGCTGCTGCTGCTCCATGCTGTGGCCAGCGGGGTCCCGCGGAAACAGGCGCCCCCGCGGAGCCAGCCTGCGCAAGGGAGGCGCCCCGCGGACGGGCACGGCGGCAGGAAACTTCGCCAAGGAGGGAGGAGAAGAAGGCGGCCCGGAGCGCACGACCGCTTCCTAGCGTCTCTGTCTTGGCACAGAGGCAGTCCGGGCGTGCCGAGCGATTTGTCTCTTGCAAAATAAATAAATAAGAAGAAGGACTTGGCTAAGCGGGAGCTGCTCCTTGTTGCCTTCTTCCTCTTTTTAACTTTGGACAAGGGATCAAGCAGCTCAGCTGCAAAGCCCTCGGCCGATCATCCCTTCCAGGGCAAAGCGAGGCTGCAGAAGGAGGCCGGCGCTGGAGGAGGAGAAGCGCCGAAAAGCCGCCTCGAGCGCTGTCCGAGAGTCATTCCAGCTGCGAGGAGGAGCGAGAGAGAAAAGAAGAAGAATCGGTGAGACTTGCAAGAGAGACAGCCGCGTCCCAGCCTCTCCAAGTCCGACCGGCTGGCTGGCTGGCTGGCTGGCGGGCGACGAATCAGAGCCGTGCCAAGGCGCGCTGCGGCGCGCTGCCCTGCCGCTAGGGGGCTCCCTCCGCACGCGGAGCTCCGCGGCTGCGGAGGGAGGAGGAAAAGGACGCCCAGGCAGGAAGAAGGGAGAGGGAGAGGGAGAAAGAAAGAGAGCAGGAGAGTTTGCGTCGCTTCCCGCTCTTCAGCGCGCACATAAACACACACACACCCCGTCCAGGCTCCGGCTTTCCTTCCTTCCTTCCTCTTCTTCTGCAATAGCAATTAATATCCCATGAATATGAATAATGACGTCGCCCTTGGCTCCCGCACAAATAATAAAGCACTTGAAAGAGGAGCTTGATGCCTTCCGATGGTTTCCTGGAGATGACTGCAGGGGCTGCGAGATGGCTGGAGAAATGGGGCGTGAAGTCTGGCACCCGAGATAAGAGAAGTTGGGTTACAGGGCCAGAGGAGAGAGAGAGAGAGAGAGAGAGAGAGAGAGAGAGAGAGAGAGATGCCGTCTCTTCGGAGACGGAGGGACTGCCTTTTTTCCAGGGCGGGGCGGGAATTGAGAGACGGGGGGACGGACGGAGTGAGCACTCAGGAATTTGGATTTCTGAGAGCACGGATGTGTCTCGCTGCCCTCCCTGTAGCACACTCCAGCGGGCTCAGCGGCCTCCCTTAACTCGCTTTAACTCCGCGTTAGTTACTTCGGAATCATTACCTCGCCTGCTTCTGTGCTCCGCTCAAGCCAGGGAGATGATAACCCTGGCTTCAGTCAGAGTAGAGCGTTGAAGCCATGGAAGAGCACTGAAAGAATGGAATGAAAAATAAACCCTCTCTCCTTGCCCAGTATATGCACACCTCTCCCCATGCTGGATCAGGCCCACGGCGCCTCTGGTCCAGCGTCCTGTTCTTATAGTAGCCACCCATATGCCCCTACGAAACCCTCAAGTAGGACTTGAACACAAGACTCTCCCCCTGTGGCTTCCAGCAACTGGTATTCAGAAGCGTTGACTGCCTCCGACATCATGGCTAGTAGCCTCTGACAAACTTCTCCGTGAATTTGTTCAATCCTCTTTCAAAGCCATCGGAACTGTTGGCCATCCTGTGGGAGGGAGTTCCGTAGTTTATGGAATCACCAGTCAATGCATTTAGGGGGGCCAGGAAGGCTGTTTAAAGGAGTCTCAAACTTAAGAGTGTACCACACATCAGTTCTCCCATAGCACCATTCTGGAGTACTGTACTAAAGAGTAATCCCTCACATATATTCACTGTTAGTGTATGTCTATGTATCAGGTGGGGATTTAAAAAAAAAAAGATTAGTGATTATGGGTTGTAATTCATAGTAAAAAGTGTTTGTGAGAGAAGGAAAGCTGATAAGAAGCCATTAATCTATGAGTATGGATGTCACATCTTGATTTTGGAGGGATGTTTCTCTCTCTTTTCCACTCCAGAAGACATGGACATAGCCAAGGGGGTGGGCAGGGAGGAGCAGCTGCTACCCCCTAAATCAATAAAAATCAATAAAAAATACATAGCAAACCGAGGTTCTGCCCCCCCCCCAACAAAAAGCCTGCCGCCCCAACATGCCCCTGCCCCAGGCTTGTCAAGGGAGACACAGATTGTTACCTATAGTTACTCAAGAGTTAGTACCACTGAACTCAGGTGGGACTTCCGAGCCGACATGTATAAGATTGCACTGGGTGTTTGTTGTAGCAGGGTGCATATTGGATATCAGCTAAGTGGCCAGAAAGACCTAATAAATCACACACTTGCTGTTCGGGCTACACAAAATCCCACTGCTCTTTCTAAAACAAACAGAAAACCTTGCCTAGAAAGCATTGTAAAACCTAATATTTAGAGTGTTGTTTTTTTCAGGCAGCTCTCATTTTTGGCACTTTCCCATTATTATTATTATTATTATTATTATTATTATTATTATTATTCCCACCATCTAGATTTGTGGAGTACAGGGTGGAAGGGGCAGTCTTGGTTTGTATTCATTCACATCTGCCCGCTTGCAAATATGTCTGACTTGTGTACATCTGCTCAGCTGGTTTTTCCCACTCACCATGGGACTATCCCAGAATAAAAGTGATCTAGAATATCCCTGGGGTGTGCATATAAAAGCCTAGGTCCAATTCTGGGCAACTTTGCCTAACACTGGGTTGCAGGTGATCTCTGCCTGAGACCTGGAAGAGCTGCATCATCCTGGAGCTGGGCTGAGGAACCTGTGGTCCTTCCAGAGTTGATAGGCTACAGTTCCCACCCCCCTGGATATTGACCATGCTTGTTGGGGTTGGTGGTTGACCAAAGCTGGAGGTTTACGGACTGGCCACCTTTGCCTTAGCAAAATAGGTCCTACATACAAATGTGCATACATTTCAAGCACATGCCTTCCCCAGAGAAACTTGGGAACTGTAGTTTGTTAAGAGTCTGGGAACTGTAGCTCTCTGAGGGGTAAACTGCAGTTCCCAAGATCCTTGGGGGAAGCCATGTGCTGTAAATGCATGGTTTGTAGGCAGCCATGAGTTTAAAGCACATGACTTCCCTCCAAAGAATCCTGGGAACTGCAGTTTCCCTCTCACTGAGCTACAATTCCCAGCATACCTGACAGACTACAGTTCCCAGGAATCCTTTGGAGGAAAAGTCATGGGCATTTGGTGTAAATTGGATGGGCTTTAAATATATGTTGTGGATCTGCAGATAGATAGATAGATGATTAGATAGATAGGTAGATGATAGATAGATAGATAGATAGATAGATAGATAGATAGATAGATAATCTTTACCTGGGACATACATCATCACCCTGCACTGCATCCAACTATCTTTATCCTTGATGCCCAGAATGAGAGGTACCTGCTTTCTTATTGTCATGATCTTTCATACCTGCTGGTGGGACAAAACGGCTTCAGAGTGAGGGGGAGTGGGGAAGGGAAAAGGGCAATCCTTGGCCTTTGAAATAATCACAATAATTTTGTTAAAAACCAGAGTCCCAGCCTTTGAAGCTGTGGGAGTCTGGCATTTGCTTGGGTAAAGTCTAACAAGCCGAAGCTCAGCCTCCTCTCATTACTTGTTGATGAAGGCTGTGATTTATCATCTTCCAAAGGAGGAAACCAGGAGACAGTCATCCCATGAATGCTCTAGCAGAAAAGAAAAGGACTTCATTTGTCCTGCCAAGTACCTGCTCCCTTGGAACACGTCGGGGTGATTAATACCTCCGCTTGACATTTTGATACTAATCTCTAAAATATTGTTTCAACTCAGAGGCCTTGCTTCAGAACATTGTAATAAAAAAACGCTGATTGGTGATTTAAAGGCCTTTAAGATAAACTGTGCTGGAATCTGGATGTGACCAGGATGAAGGCCATGATGGGGACTTTTCTCAGCCTTGAGTGTGGAACCCCCTATTCTGGTGCCCTGAACCCACCAGAAAACAACTTAATTTGTACAGTCAGACTCCAGCCTTGTCTATTTCATGTTCCTAAGAGCTCTGGGTAATGGCCAAGCTAATATCCCTCACCACTAGATGAATAGCCCTCTCCTTGGGAAAAAGTAAGAGTCACTGATTAATGACAGGAAGTCAAGTTGATAAAATAAGCCATCATTCCTACTATTTCCAAAGTCTGGGTCATGATGTCACTGTTCATGTGGCCAGAACGGTCACACACAAGAATGAGGTATCAGCAGCTTTGAGGGAACCCAAGGCTTTTGCAGAAGTACCAAAAAATATTATTAGATCATAGAGTTGTAGAGCTAGAAGGGATCACGAGGGTCATCCAGTTCCTTGGAGGTGGTGGTTGTTTTGTCCAGTCTAGGGCTCAAACCCACAACCCTGAGGTTAAGAGTCTCATGCTCTACTGACTGAGATATAGGAGGGGAAGAAAAACAAAAAAAGGGAGAGGGAACTCTCCCAAAGCAGCCACGTGCGGACTGAGCATGCTCAGTGGTCACTAAATGCTGGCTGGCTGGCTGGCTGGCTGACTGCTGGGGAGGGGCCATGGAATGGAGTGGCTGGAACCCAGAACAGAAGCGTTCCACAAGGCAACATTTTAAAGGTCCTATTTAGATTCCTAGAGTTAGAAGGGATCTTGTCTTGTCTACACCCTCAATACTGGAACTCCCTGCCACAGGTTTCCACCCCTGCAGTAAAATATCGTAGTGATTAATATTATATTTATATGGAAATTTCCCTGGGTCCTTCAAGTGATTTGTATACATTCTCCTAGGACCATTTTCAATAGCTCTGTATTGTGTCTATGGTTGTTTTTTTTAGCAAACACTGTATTTCCTGGCACTTTTTAATCTTATTGAACGAACCACGAGGACTAGAAATTCTTAATCATCCAATGGGGCAATAGGAGTCAAATGGCTCTTGGCACAATTTCAAACTGGCTGTTGACCTGAATTGTTGCCAGACATTGCCTCATGGTGAGAAAAGCGTAGGCTGCTTGTCATTGATTTAAAAGTAAAATACAATCCTTTTAATTGTGTCAGCCAGTGTCAGGCAGGTTGTGTACATGCTATACCCAGGCACTGAATTCAGCTTTTGACCTGCCACCAGAAACATAGTGTTTTGAACATTGGTGGTAGCACACCAAAACCAACCTTCCTTCCTTCCTTCCTTCCTTCCTTCCTTCCTTCCTTCCCTCCTTCCCTCATTCCCTCCTTCCCTCCTTCCTTCTAAATTTACAACAACCTGATGAGGTGGGTTAGGCATGGAACTGGTGCCTGGCCCATGGTCACCCCAGAGATCACCATGGCATAATCATTTCAACCTGGGTCTCTTCAGTCCTCGTCCCCCACTGTAACCCTCACATCTTCCTGGCTCTCTTAACATCACATGCATGGGGTTGTTAAGGCAAGCACAGAATTCTATTTGAATCAGGAGTGGCCAACATCCCCCCCCCCCCCCGCAAGGACCACATTTGCTCTTGGTCAACCCTCTGACAGCCCACAAGCCAACCGTGGGCACGGCCAGAGCAAAAAAGAGCATTGTCAAAGTGGGTTTGATTGACCCACACTCAGCCTCACACACACACAATGCACGCGTGCACGGATGGACAGACAGACAATTGTGCACAAGCAGGCAGACAGTGGTACCTGCATGCAGGAAAACTGTCCCTCCCCATTAGGGTGCTGGAGTGGAAAGCAAATTTCCTCCCCATCTCCCTCTCCTCCACTCTGCTGCTTCAGCACTCTAGCAGGGAGAATGACAAGTGTCCCTTCCCCCACTCCATCAGATAACGTGATGTCATGGTGGAGTGGGAGGGATTATCTGCATCCCCATCATAGTGCTGGACTGGGCAGAAACGTCTCTGCCCAGCCCAGTGCTATGGTGAAATGGGCAATAAATCTACTCATCCCCGCAAAAAGATTGGTTTGGAGGCCCAGTGGGCCACCAGGGAAAGCTTGGCAGGCTGGATGAAGTCTCCTGGTCCACCTGAATGCCTTATGCATTCAAGATGTTCAGTTGCATATGCTGGACTACAACTCCCATCATCCCTAGCCATTGCTCATTGGGCTGGGGCTGGGGCTGATGGGATATCAGAGGGCTGCAGGTTCCACACCTCGGATTTAAATGAAGAGATGTGTGCCCTATCACCCATGCCATTTCCCCCTCCAATGGAGAAAACAGAGATGCCTTTTGGAAACCTTTTTTAAAAAATGTGTTTGCCTAGCTTTGGAATTGGAGAGCAGGGGTATTTACTTGGAAGTAAGCTTCAGTGATTGCAATGGAACTTACTGCTGAAGTGTGCCTATATCGTTCCAGGCATTCTGATTTAAATTGGTCTCTGAAGTGAGCTCAAAAAGAAGGGGGAATGAGACAATCTGTATAATTCAGAACTACAGACCAGATTTAAATCAGTTTAGCTTCATTGACTTCAAGGGAGAATCACAACAACGAAGCAGCTGGGAAGTTAAGTTGTGTGAAAATCTAGAGTAACTTTTCATTCCTATCCTTTTGTGGTGGGGGGGGGAACCAATCTTGGGAAGTGAGCAAAAAAAAACGCTGGAGTCTGCCTCTATTACTGAAGAAATGCAGGTTTAAATGGAAAGTGTCTTATATGTCTTAACAAAGAAGGACAGGAGGGTCAGAGGAAATTTGGAAGTTGCCTTGGAATCAGACAATGGGTCCATTTACAGCAGTGTCTACAGCAATGTCTCTCTAGGGTTTTAGGCAAAGGTCTGTCCCAACCATTCCTGGAGATATGAGGGACCTTCAGCATGCAAAGCAGATGCTTGACCACCAGTGGAGGCTGCTGCCCATTGGGTGAAGGCAGGGAGGGCAAGAGTAGATGAAACCAATGGCAGGCAGAGCTGGAGTCCATGATAGGTAGACCCAACTAATGCTGGTTTTGTCCCAATCCTTCTCCTTGTTGTGTTTTATCAAGGCAATGATGAAATTTAGGAGGATGAGACTGACCTTGACCGTGCTGATGTTTGAATGGTTCCATGGGGTCATGAAGAGTTGGACACGACTAAACGACTAAACAACAACAACAAAGCAAGGAGATGCTATGGACTGGTTGGATGCAGAAGAGTGGCGGGAAGAACCAGCTGGGGAACCACCAAGGGGAAAAGGCTCAGAGCCCAGGTAGTGATGGTGGTGGGACAACTATGAGTGGTCAGAGGGAGAAGACTGGGAAGAAGAGGCGTCAGAAGCTGATAAGGTAACAGGGCTTGCTGTAGTCCCACCCAAGTGAACTTTAATACCCTGTTCTAATGGGCAAAAAAATCTTAATTGCTCATGGGGTCTGAGCTGGTTGTGACTCATGACTGACCAAAAGTGGGACTCTGGCGTTGGAGCAGATAGCTCAATGGAGATGCTGATCCCAGAGTGTGGCCGCTGTGAGAAAGGCAAATTCCATGCTAGGGATCATTGGGAAAGGAATTGCAAACAAGACTGATGGCATCATAATGCTGTTGTACTCATTTATGGCGCAAGTGTATTTGGAATACTGTCTACAGTTCTGGTTGCCTCACCTCAAAAAGGGTATTGTGGGGTTGGAAAATGTTCAGAAAAGGGCAGCCAAAACGATAAAGGGGATGGAGTGACAACATTCTGAAGAAAGGTTTCAGCATCTGGGACTTTTTAGTTAAGAAAGAGGTGACATGTTAGAAGTTTATGGAATTATGCATGGCATGGAGAAAGTAGATAGAGAAAAGTTTTTTGCCTTCTCTCATAATACTGGAACTCATGAACATCTAACAAAGCTGAACAAGATTCCAAACAGATAAAAGGAAGTACTTCTTCACTCAGCATTTAGGTAAACCATGGAACTCACTCCCACAGAATTTTGGTTTGATTTTGATCTAATATTTGTATTCCATTTTTCCAACAGCAAATGTTGAGTTTGAAGCAGCTCACAATAATCACAAGAATATATAAAAATAAAGCAAACAGCAATAAATTAATCAATAAAATGAATACAATTCAGCAAAACCACGATACTACCAGTAGATGGGTAGCCAGTATAGATGTTTCAACAATGGTGCCACATACTCTGTTGGCCATGCGCCCCCAACGGCAGTCTGGTTGCATCATTCTGCACCAGCTGGAGCGCCCAAACCAGGCCTATCCTATCATCAAAGATGACTACCAGGTGTGTGCCTGTTGAACAAGCAACTTTTATCTAGAGCATATGGGATAGTTCAGTTGGTAGAGCATGAGACTATTAATCTCAGGGTCATGGTTTCGAGACCCACGTTGGACAAAAAGATTCCTGCATTGCAGGGGGTTGGACTTGATGACCCTCATGGTCCCTTCCAACTCTCCAATTCTATGGTTCTGTGCAGGGAAATCTGCATACCTAAGATAAGAATCTTTAAAGGTTGTGAGTGTGATATCATTCTACAAGCTGTGCCCTCTTGCCACCTCTTTAATCCACCCAATTAGCATTTACCACCTAAGAAGACCAAGAATATACTGTTTTATTTTGTAATAAGAGGCAGCCCGATCCACAACCCAATGAAGTAAAACGGTACAACTGACAGCTCAATCCCACCATGTTTACCGAGAGAAGTAAACCCAGTCTGAGTTCATTGGGGCTTACTCCCTACTGCGTCTCCTTGTAATTGTAACTTTATGCCGATTTCGCTTCATTGAGTTAAATGACAATGGAAGCCACAACGACCCAATGTATCACCCTAAGCTGCTGCAGTGGCTTGCTCATCTGCAACCAGAGCACAGTGCCACGCCAAGGAAGCTTCTCTATCCTCTTCCTTGCTTTATGTTATGGCTCGGTTTTGTGGCTGTTATGAAACAGGCAAAAAAGCTTCATAAAATCCTTCATAATAGCAGATGGTGGGCAACTGGTCCTTCCTTGCCAGAAGAGAAGAAGAGGCTTGCTGGATCAGCCCAATGGCCCATCTAGTCCAGCATCTGGCCAACCAGATGCCTATGGGAAACCTGCAAGCAGGACTTGGGTGCAAGCATTCCTCTGCCTACCTGTGGCTTCCAGCAACTGATATTCAGAAGCATCCTTGCCTCTGATTGTGGCGCAGTGAATTTTACATGGCCCCAGGGTGAGAGGGATGGCAATGCAGCTGAACTGAAGGCAGCTGTTATACCAGGCTAGGATGTGGGAGGGGGAGCTGCCGCTAACTTGCAAGGACAAAGTGTCTTAGCAGAATGTCATGGACTGGTTGGACACAGAGGAATGGTCGGAGGAACCAGCTGGAGAACCACCAAGGGAAGAAGGCTCAGAGCCTGGGGAGTAGTGGTGGGACAATGATGGAGGGAGGGGGTAGAGGGAGAAGATTGGGAGAAGGAAGCTAAAGAGCTAACAGGGCTTAGTGAGCTGGAAGAGTTGGTGGCAGAGAGAAGACCAGAATCAGAGGCAGAAGCTGAAGCCAGAGAGTGGGACGAAGAGGCAGAGATGAGTCAGGCTGGTGAAGAGTCACAGATGTCTTCCCCGCTTCTGCCATGACAAGCTCCCATCCCTGCTTGTCTCCAGAACCAGAAGAGACATGAAGAGGGTGGAGGAGAGGTTGGCTGCATACAGGTTCAGTCTCCAATTGCTTGGGGAAAGCCCTGGTGAGGAGGTGGGAATGTTCAGTCTTGGCAAATGATTTTCATGGAGGAAGACCACTGGGCATGAGCTGCTGTTCTCATTAGGCCTGGCAATCCAACCAAGTCTGTGGAGGTCACGTTTTTGCTAATACAGTGGTACCTCAGGTTAAGTACTTAATTCGTTCCCGAGGTCCGTTCTTAACCTGAAACTGTTTTAACCTGAAGCACCACTTTAGCTAATGGGGCCTCCTGCTGCTGCCGCGCTGCCGGAGCACGATTTCTCTTCTTATCCTGAAGCAAAGTTCTTAACCTGAAGCACTATTTCTGGGTTAGGGGAGTGTGTAACCTGAAGCGTATGTAACCCGAGGTACCACTGTAAAGAGTTAACTCCACCTTTGAACTTTGTGAATACTGACTGACGTGCTCCTGTGACACAGAACAACCTGCAAAGCCTATGGCTGCAAATGAAGGAGTGCAAAACATACAGAGAGGACCAGTTTGACTGCGCCTGGCTGAGAGAATCAGACTGTGAATTGCTTTGGGTTAAAATCAGTGATAGGGAACAATTTTCAACCCAAGGTCAAGGGTGGAGGGGCCAGGGCAGACCGGTGAAGGTAAATTTTACCTTTGTACAACAAGCTGTTTTCTACCCACATACTGCTCTCTAGGCAGAGAAGCAAAGATTCTTGCTGGACAAAAACCCTGGCAGAGCCAGCAAGGGGTGTGGCCTACAGAGAGGGGGTGTGGACTGGCTCAGACCCAAGTCACTTGATTCAATGCAGCCTTGCAAAATCTGTAGCAACACTAGCCAGTTGTCATGCACTTGACAGCCTGAGCCTGTGTGGTGCAGTGGTCAGAGTGCCTGCCTAGGACGTAGGAGATCAGGGTTCGAATCCCCACTTGGCCCTGAAGCTCACTGGGTGTGATTTTGGACCAGTCGCTGCCTCTCAGCCTAATCTACCTCACAGGGTGGTTGTGGGGGATTAAGTGAGATGAGGAAGAACCATGTATGCCAACTTGAGGCCCTTAGAGGAAAAGTGAGGGTAGAAATGTAGTAATAATAACAACAATAATAATAACTTCTCTATTGTTGCAGCCTTGGATGGTCAGCGAAAAAACCTCAGAGGGATAAATGAAACCTTGGTAGGACACAGTCCTCAGTGGGTCACACATTGCAGAAGCCTGATTTGGGTATTATAACTTCCCTTTTCCTTTTCTTACCATTTCTGCAACTTTTCTCATTCCATTGATAAATGAGCTCAGAAACATGCGCTACAGGAATAACATGCTCATTTTTCCTGTTACAGTCAAAACCTTCCGCAGATAAAAGACAGCGTGCATGCAGCCAAATGTGTTAAAATTGTTCTCCCTGATCAAGGCTCAATTCACCTCTTGCTAGAGTCAAATAAGACCCAGCTTCACTCCCTCAATGACAGCCCAGCTATGTAGCACTTAGTCCCTCGAGCACCAGATTCTGATTATCCCAGCAATACTTTTCGTAGATCTTCCACAGCAGGCAGCCCTCGCCCCAGAAGGAGGAATGGCTGGAGAAGGTGGAGGGACAACGGGTGACTTTTATTGCCTGCAAGCGAAGACGTCAGATGGATACCAGAGCAAGCAAGAAGACCAATCCCCATCTGTGAAATGTGGAAGTAAAAAAAGGCAGACTCTCTGCCACTTCAGAAAGGAAAATAAGGAGGGCATTTCTGCACGCTTGCAACTAACGTGTTTTAACTCAAACTTTGGGCAGTTACAGGAAGGAGGGCAAATGTTGCCCACCCACCCATGCTCCTTATTTATTTTAAGGCTCTGGCTGCTTCATAACAACACCCGGCCAACACTTCTGTTCTCCAGGAACCCCTTGGAGCAAGGGCAGGAAGCATTTAGTTTCAAGCAGCCGTGTTCTGAAGCCAGTTAAGAGTGAGGGCATATTGCAGATCTTAAGACTGTGTAGCTAGAAGCGACTGGATGCATAAAAGCTGACTCCTTTTGGAAGCAAACATTGTCCAGGCCCACCCACAAGCTTGATTCAAAGCTTTACTTACAGAACTTTCCTCAGAACAGAACAAAATACAGTAAACGATGTATCCAAACAGTTCCATAAGATCTTGTACATGACCAGAACAAGTTCAGCATCTTAGAAATAACTTTACTTCTTCCAGAAATCAAAACTGTGTCTCTCCCCCATTCCAGCCTTCATTAGCCTTTTTTCCAGCCCCAAGGGGCTAGGCAGCTCCAGAAGAGCACCCTTATCCCATCTTACTTCCACTCTGGCTGGGAACAAAAGACCAAACATAACTCCCTTCAAAATGGCTATTTGCAATTCAATATCTTAATCACCTGATCTAAGGTTAAAGACAACATCAGAACTAGCAGAGAACAGCAGCAGTTACTGTATTTTTCCGTGCATAAGACGCCCCCATGTATAAGACGACCCCTATTTTTTGAGCCCCAAATTAAGAAATAAATATTTTAAACACCAAACAGAACAACTTTGATATTTTATTAAATATTCAAAACACTAGTATATTTAGTACCGTATATTTAAACATCAAACAGTGAGGCAAACTGTGTAATGCTGGCTGCTCCTGTCAGCTCAGTGTAACTCTACTGCAGCTCCAGCTCCAGCTCTCCCACCTTTGTGTTGCACTTTTGTCTCAGTATTTACGGTATGTACCGTATTTACTCCATGAGCACCAGCACATGCAAACGCTGATCAAGGAGCTGTGACTGCCAGAGCTGCCTGAGTGGGTGCACTTGGGAAATGCGGGGTCTGGGTAGCCAGAGGGCAGCTGGGGGTAGAAGGGACAATGTCCTGAGTGGGAGCTGCTGGGGGGGGGGAGTGCCAGACGAGGGTTTGTCATGAGGCCAATAGTGAGGGGAGGCTGGGGGGGAGAGAATATGGATGGCAGCAGAATTGTGACATTCTGTGTATAAGACGACCCCCAATTTTAAACTTAAAAAATTGGGGGGGGGATATCACCTTATACACGGAAAAATACAGTAATTATCAACCCATATAGGAGCTCAGAGAGTTTAATATAGCCCTATGGAAAATCCCAATATTAAAGCCTTCAGTAAAATCGAGGCATTCTCCATTTCAGTGTGAATTCAACCACCACACTCAACAGGGCAATGCTCTCTTTTTTTAAAAGCATTGTTAAAAGGCAGCACCATAATTCCACTCCCAGTCAAGATACCAAGGGTGCCTGTGGAGCAGCAATGGCAAAAATTTCTGGGCAGAGAAGAAGAAGAAGAGGAGGAGGAGGAGGAGTTTGGATATGATATCCCGCTTTATCACTACACGAAGGAGTCTCAAAGCGGCTAACATTTTCCTTTCCCTTCCTCCCCCACAACAAACACTCTGTGAAGTGAGTGAAGCTGAGAGACTTCAGAGAAGTGTGACTAGCCCAAGTTCACCCAGCAGCTGCATGTGGAGGAGCAGGGAAGTGAACCCGGTTCACCAGATTACGAGTCTACTGCTCTTAACCACTACACCACACTGGCTCTCCAAAAAGGCAAAAAGAGTAATGAAACCAGAGCTACATGTGAGCAACAGCATCAGGGGAACTTGGTGACCAGCTCCACCTTCTCAGGCATGATGACATGATAGATGTGCTTGATGGTCAGTAAGTCAGGGTGGTCATGCCCGCTTTTGACCACACCCACCATTGGGCATGCAGCTTCCAGAGGAGTTGAAGTGGGGCAAAACAGCCATCAAGCAAGCCACTTCTGGTTTTGCATGACATGAAAACTAGACCACTGTATGATGAAGTGTCTTCAGTTGAGTGCATTAATTTAGATACACACACACACACACACACACACACACACACACACACACTTATAGTTTGGAAAAGCAAAGTCTGCTTTCCAAAGCTACCTAGAAACAAACAACTCAGCAGTAGCTGTTGAGCTCATGTATAAAAATGCTGCACCCCAAAGGCCATTTACATGAATTGAATGGGACTTACTTCTGAGTGGAGATGTATAACATTGCACTGTAAATTTACCTCAGGCTCCAGCTTCATGGGCTTCCTTCACCAGAAAGCCAATGTGAAAAAGATTGAAGTGCAAAATATACAGTGCATCTTTGTTTGGGGTTTTTGTTTTTTTTTAACATCTCACATAGTTAATTTATCAGATACGAGAGGTCTTCTCTAGCAGTACTCTGTGGAATGCCACACTTTTAATTACTCATGCACACTTGTACAAGAAAATACCTTACAGCAAAATTACAAGGAGAGGCTTGTGAGGAGCGAGCAAATAATACATTGCAGAAAAGCAATGAATTGGGTGGTCCTCCGAAAGAGATAATTAGATTTCAAAAATTGCTGTGTGACTAAAGTGAAGTTTGTCATTAAAATCCAATTAGTGGGATTCTTTATGTTGGTCACCCTAGGGACGATTAATTGACAGGTTCCCCAAGGCAAAGAGAAGTTGACAACAAACATTATTATCATAGCATTGGATCTACACTGAGTTGGTCATGCTGTAATCCTATTGATGTCAACGGCACTTAAGCTGGTCAACTAAATTGTCCCACTGATCTGGACAGGACTAAAGCATGACTGGTTTAGTCTGAGTCAATCCATAGTTCATTTGACTTGATCCCTGGCCTGTTTAAGCCACAGCTTTTGGATAGCGGTTAATTGAGTGTCATACACCAGTAGGTTGCCAACTTTTTCCTGGCAGGACTCCTGTGCCTTTAATTGTCCCTGCTATTAAAAACAAAACAAAAAAAAACAGGCAGGAAGTCAGCTGGCAAATCTTTCTCCTGCACAGCAACTGCATGCCAGGAGAAAGATGCACATGCTGAACTTTCCCCTTTCATATAACTGTTAAGGGCCAAGGGCATTGCTGGGGTGGGGAGGGATATCAGTTTAGGTCAGTGTTCTCCTGGGCAGATTTAGAGTCCCCACAGAAAAATTAGTCTTTACAGGAATAAATCAATAAGGGTAAGCAGGAATGATTTTAAGCTTCTTCTGAAAGCCAATAATGAAGGAGGCAGGTACACCTTACCAGGGAGGGCATTCTACAATTGGGGAACCACCACCGAAAAGACCCTGTCATGGGTCAACAGCAACTGACCACAATTTACTCCTGAGGAGACAGGAGTGGAAGCTCTGGAGAAGGAACAACACTGAAGCAGCCACACCAGGAGAGGAAGCCAGCTGAAAAACTTTGCTTATCAGTTAAAGTTCTCTGGGTGATGGGCAGAAGCAGGAACGTGAAGAAGCAACATTGGCCTACCTTGCAGCAGGCTAGATGTGACTTTCTTTAACGCTATAGTCAGGCTCAGTCAATGGGACTTCTGCAATGTACCTCCTTTGATGTGTCAGTTCATGTGGGGCCTTCTTCTTCTTCTTTGGTGATCACTCGTAGCCGAGTAAGATTGTCTTCCATGAACACAGTTTTAACAGTGAGTCCGTAAGTGACTGTAGAGGCCAATTCTGGATCCACATGTCCTTCCACAGTGGGGACATAGATTTCTGGGTGGGAGTTGATCATGGTGAGGGTTTGCCAAGCATGCCTTCCTCTTAGCATGTTTCTCTCTTGCGTCCTGAGTTCAAGCGTCTTCAGAACCCATGACAGCTTTGGTAAAGGCTGTTCTCCAATTGGAGCGCTCACAGGCCTGTGTTTCCCAGTTGTCAGTGTTTATACTACTCTTTTTTAGATTTGCCTTGAGAGAGTCTTTAAACTTCTTTTGTTGACCACCAGCATTATGCTTACCATTTTTAAGTTCAGAATAGAGTACAGTGGTACCTCAGGTTACATACGCTTCAGATTACATATGCTTCAGGTTACAGACTCCACTAACCCAGAAATATTACTTCGGGTTAAGAACTTTGCTTCAGGATGAGAACAGAAATCGTGCTCCGGTGGCACGGCGGCAGCAGGAGGCCC